AGAGAGAGAGGAGGAGGAGGAAGTCCTCCTTGCTATCTCACCTGCAGGTAGCTGCCACTTGAACTGACCTCGTCCGTTGTTGTGTGCAGGTACCGCGTGGAGCCCAGCTATGGTGCCAGGTAAGCTCGCCGACTGCAGGTATGGCCTCCGCCACTCTCTACCTCGCCTAACTCTACTTAGCGCAGCATAGCGCAGCCTCCAACCAGCAGCGTGTCGCTCAGAATGAGCTACTCGAACTGTTTTTTCCCAGGAGCTGGCCCAGCTATAAGTAGGGCTGGGCCGTGGTGCTGTACCCTCGACCTGCGATCTGGGCCGTGAGATCGTAGGTCCGATCCATGGTCCAGGTCGCAAGGAAAAGTCCTGTCCCTGGGTCTGGCCTAAAAACGGCCTGCCTGGGTCCCTATCGGACGTCCAGGCCTTCCCTGCTGATGCAGCAGGGAGTGTCTGCTACCAGACAAAAGCGAACCTGGCCTAAAAGGGCCTGGCCACGAATGGAGGAGGCCAAAAACGTGGCCTTGGTCGACGAACTGCAAGTCCGAAACGTCACCTGAAACAGACAAAAATAGAACAGGCAAACAGCAGCACACATAAGTAAAGAAATAAACTAATAAATAAATGAATGACTGCTGCCTCAAATCTGTACCTACGGCCTGTCCAATGGCCGTGGGCCTCCAGGTCGCGTGCTTGGAACAGGCGCGCGGCGTAGGGGCCCTCAACAACCGTCGGGCCCGAAAATGGGCCCGTGTGTCAGGCTCAGCATGTAACAGTGGCGAGGCGGAGCGTCCTGCATAGGGCGTGGGCGAGGGAGAGGATACCGAGCGTTATGCGGAGCGAGGTGTTGCGAGATATGGGGAGGGTGTGGGTGCCGCGGAGGAGGACGAGGCACACGTTGACCTTGAGGTTGGCGTGGCCGAGGGGGAGCGGACACCGAGGGGAGAGGGGGGCGTGCCGAAGTCCGATCCGATGGCTCATCAGAGGGCGGTGGACTAGGAGCGGAGGTGCGGGAAGAAGGCCGTCCCGCCTGAGACGACATGCACGCCGAGTTCTTCGAAGAGTGCTGTTCCTGATAGAGCAAGCACATCGGGTTCTTCGAAGAGGAAGGAGGGGGGTGCACAACTTTCTGGCACCAGTGCAGGGAAGAGGCTGCGGCAACAGAAAATGACGGACACGTATGGTGGTGAGTGGATTGGTGAGTGGAGGAACGCATTCTTTCGCTGGGTGTATTTCAGCGGGATTGCCTTCAATGCCTTCCGCAACACGCCGTACCGGGACCTCCAGCAGGTTGCTCTTCGGCAACCTGGTGGAGCACCTCTTCCCGTGCTTCCATCCCACAGCGAGATTGCAGACATGCGAACTGTAGAGATTCACCGCGAGCAGTTGGCGGAGGAGTTGGAGGAGGTTAGGCAACCATTATGGGTGAGTGGCGCCACCCTCCTCTCTGACGGGAGGAAGTCACGAGATGGGCGACCGATCGTGAACTTCCTCGCAATTGGGTCTCGAGGGGTCGTCATGTACACGACGATCAACCGAGAGGGGGAGCCGGATGATGCGGTGCACGTCCTGCAGAGATGGGTCGCCATCTTTCATGATTTCAGATTCGGTGGCCCACAGCGGGTCAATGCTATATGCACTGACTCCGCCTCTGCATATGTGGGGGCTGCGAGGGCTTTGGCCTCGCCATCTATGCCCCCTGAGCTGAGGAGGATCACTTGGCTCCCGTGTTGCGTCCATGTCTGCAACAAGTTGTTGTCACACATTGGCACGATCTGCACCTCTTTCGTGGACACGATCACGCGTGCCCGAGTTCTGGTGGTGTTTTTCAAAACCCACCAGGCCGCTCTCAGCTTCTTTCGGAAGCGGAGCGCGACGTTGGGCCTCGTGCTTTCATGCGAGACGCGCTTTGCGTCCGTGTACTCCATGTTGGAGAGGTTGCTCGCTCTGCATGATTGTTTGCAGGGCATGATGACAACGGAGGATGATCGGGCATGGGCTAGGATCCCGTGGTCCCCCGACGTTTGCGACATGGCGCGTTGGGTGCGCCGACAGATCCGGTGGTCCCCTTGGTGGGAGAGGATGCGTGCCATCAAGCACGTCATGGATCCTGTCATGGACTTGCTGAGGCGGATGGACCGTGGCGGGCAGTTCATGTCCCTCGTTGTAGAGTGGACTCGGGATCTTGCACGCCTTGTGCGGGACGTTTGCATTCCCCTTGGCCAGTCCTTTTCTGACCGTATCATGAGGCGTGTGCAGGCCCGTATACAGCACATGTTGGAGCCCGCACACTGCGCCGCGTTCTTACTGAACCCCCGTCGCCGGAATGTTCAKTACTTCTCCGCGCAGCTCGACCGGTACCACACTTGGCTTGTTCGACAAGCCAAGAGGTATCTATTGTCTCAGACGGGCCATGATGAGTCGGGTGGTCGTTACCTTGAGGTATGTCGGCAGTTCGAGGACTTTCACATGCAGCAGGGTAGGTATGGGTCTTGGGGCGGGKCAGAGGGCCGCGCTCGAGCGCGTAGTTGCAGCGGAGACTGCGAGACGTTGGAGTGTGCGTCGTGGTGGTCTCAGTACGGGGGAGAGGCGCCCGATTTACAGCAGTGCGCTCTTCGTTTGATGCACATGTGGTCCTGCGCCTCTCCAGCGGAGAGGAACTGGGCGGTCCACGAGGGCATCCATACGAAGAAGCATAATCAGTTGGCCTTCGAGAAGGTCGTTCATCTTGTTGAGATCACTGCAAATGTGCGGTTGATGGAGTATAGACGTGCAGGTTGTAGATACGTCCTCCCTTGGCAGCGAGACGAGGGCATGCTTGACGCTCAGGCGGGATTGGACGTGGAACCTGTGCGCTCGGGGACTATGAGTGGGATGACGGAGGAGGAGATCGAGGAGCAGGCCGCCCTCATTGCGCGCGATCCCATTGGGTCTTCAACGCCGCCCCCTGTTGAGTTTGTTTTCGGTGCTCGTGCGACTATCTTCCGCCCATACCCCAGGGACGATGACTCTGCGGACGAGAGGGAGTCGGAAGCACCAGACGACCCAATGCTTCCCATCCTGCGTGAGATTGATGAGTTGCACGAGGGGGGCGACGTGCGTGACGAGAGGACGCACACCGCGCGGAGGGCGGCACACCAGCGAGATATGGATATGATGGGGGGCGAGCAGTTTTGGGGATCTTTCGGGGGCACGAAGGAGAAATCACCCACTGCCGCGTGGGAGGATACGTGTCCTTGCACGACCTTGCGGGAGGAGACGCCTGCTCCCATGACTGCGAGGCGACGATGAGGGACGATGAGGGAGAGGAGGCTGTGGCAGGGGTAGACGAGAGCGTGGCTGGGGTAGATGATGGTGCTGCCCAGGTTGAGATGGAGGAGGATGTGGTGAGGGCAGATGCTGCTGCGTTGGTTGGGGGAGAGGAGGGTGTGGTAGGGGGGGACGTCGCCCATGGTACAGGAGAGGGAGGCGCCCACCTTGACACGATCGTCCAGCGTTTCGTCGATGACGAGATGGATCCCGCTTTAGCAGGTTTGACCCCGGGCACGAGGAGGGCACTGGGGGCGTCGCCATCAGGACAGAGGCGGGCGTCGGGGCTGGGGATGGGGGATTTCATGGACATGTCTTTGGGGGATCCGCCCACCCCTGCTCACGCAGAGAGAAAGGATGTGGCGCGTGCCCTAGAGGCCGCTGGGTACTCCACACAGGAGATCGAGCAGGCATTTGCAGGACGCTCCGGGAGAGAGACAGACTCGCTTCAGGAGAGGTGCGAGGAGGTAGTAGAGAAGCCACAAGAGGAGCGTGAGGATGCACCCCCTGCAGATATCCACGGAGGTAGTAGTTCATTAGGCTATGACGGACTGATAAGGGCCCTGCCCTCCTGTACAAAACACAACCCAAAGCAGCTATGGTGCTGCCGATGTCCAAAGGACAACCCAAGAGCAGTTATGCCACTGCTGACTGGTCCGCCATGCCTGACTCTGCCGTGAGCTTCCTTGCTGCAGCGCTACCCCAACTGGGGCCTTCCGGATGCAGCGCCCAACAAGGTGATGAAGACGGTGTCCACCATAGCCAGGTAAGTGCCTCAACACTCTCCTACCATGCCCCTTCTTCCTCCTCCTCAAGCTGGACTGCTCGCCATAGCCAGGCTGAGCTCCAGCGGTCCCTTCTCCCTCCAAGCAGCGATGTACCTCCAGCGCTGTGCTCCAGCAGCATGTCACCAATCCTTGCACACCGCAAATGAGGAAGAGCTCTTTGCTCTTTCTGGAGATATAGCGGCCTACTGGCCTCCTGGGCGGTGACTTTCTAGGCCGAGCGGCCTCCCAGCAACCGGTACCTCCTCCCTTTCGGAGGGAAACATGATTGCAGGCTCTGCTATCCTCCGGACAGGCCCTAGACCCGGGCTACTTGGACTGGTACCGGCCTACCTCTAACCTACAGCCTACCGCTACTAAGCCTCTAAAAATGCCAATTTTTTGTCTTCTTCTGCTCGGCCTTCAGTACGACACTCGTACCACTACTCGAGTGGTACCGTCCTACCTGCTACTCGAGTGTTTCCCCCCTGCTCTAAGTGTCGCGGGCCTACCCCCGCTACTTGATTGTCTACCCCCCCTTCAACCTTGACAGTCACGGCCACAGGTAAGTACTGGCCCTGCGGGGCCTTGCAAACAACAAGTACCCTTGCGGGTCACACACACTCAACCGACAAGCACACAGACAGCCATGCAAAACAGCAGGCACGCACACACACACACAGACATGGAAATCACAGCAAGGAAGACCTCCAGCGCACGGCGATTGCGGCCGCAGCTGCGGGCGCAGCCCCCGTTGTTCGCTTACCCGTCAAACGACGAAGCCGTTCGACGGGGATTTGAATCCATTCAACGGGGATTCAACTCCCATTCAACGGGTTCAACGGGGATACAACGGACAGGGTCGGAGACAAACCCCTGTTTTTTAGTTCACGTCGCCGGCGCTGCGTGCTCGCAGTCGTTGCGCGCGGTCCGTTGAACCGAGTTCAACGGAAACCGCCCGTTGTATCATTCAACAGGGATTCAACTCGGGTCTTGTGCCCGTTCAACACGTACAACGGAGTTGAAAAAATCCCGTTGATAGTTGAATGGACACACAGGGGATGGTTGTCTGCTCCATTTCATTGACCTCTGATTTACGTCTTTGACAGTGGTCCGCTGTTTTGTTGTCGCAGACACGTCTCGTGCATGGTTTGTGGTGTGCATGCTATGCCACGGCAGGCTTGCAGCACAACCTTGGAAAGCATGGACTGTGTGGCATCTAATACAATGCTCAATGAGGATTTTCCTCCACCGCACCTGCCAATGTGTTCACAAGATATTCGAAGTGATCACGAACGTGTCGATAATGCTCCGGAATCTCCAGCTCATAAGAGGTCACGAAATATTGCGTATGCGGACACTACATGTGAAAGTGCATATCCCGTCCTTCGATGCCCGGTTCGAACCTATGATGTAGAGAGTGCTGAAGGTCAGGAGGGTAAGGCCTCCTCTACTGACAACGACGCATCCGATGTAGATCGTGTTGTATGGGTGCCGAGGAGTTCACTTCGAGATTTCGAGTACACAGGTCTTTTGTTTGGTGAGAGTGATGAAGGTGGTTCAGATTCAAGTGCTTCGGTGTCGTCTAGTGCTGATAGTTCTCCAGCTAAAACCGATCATCCGCAAACGTACGCTGACCGGAACAGTGACCACTGTTGTCGAAATGACGATGAAAATTGTGACGTGATCTCTGATTTCGATGACATTTTTTCAAAACGTCTGTCCTCAGAGAAACGTCCTTATACTTTTCGTCTCAGAATGCCGCGGTCAAAGAAGATTCTGCAATCAGTTTATAAAAAACTCACCAAAAAAGCACTGGCGAGTGTGCGTGGGCAAGTTTGCTATAAGCGAGAGTGTTGCGCTCAAATGATCCTTGACGACATCAAAGCTGTCCGGAGCGCATACTACTCTAAGAACCATCAGAGCAGGGATGCATGGTGGGTTGAAACGTTGAAGAGGCTCACCTTCATAGAACATGAAAATGAGATTGTTCAACCTATTGTGGGGAGACGAAAGGTGTGCATTAGTGCTTGGTGTTTCACACTAGGTGTATATAAGAATACATTTCTAAAAAAAAGGATGACTTTGTCAAAAGGCTACATTATGCCGGAGCATGGCAGTACTGGACTCAGGCGCATATCAGCAACATATGCGACGATGTACGAGAAACTAAGCTCCTTCGTGCGAGACAACGAAGATTCCATGCCCAATGACATGAAGATCAAAGAGGGGGAATCGAGAGTGGTGTTGAGATTGCCTGCTTGCTATAACAAGGTTGATATTTATAAGTTGTTAAAGTCGCAATTCAACAACATGGGTGCTCCTTGTGTTTCTCTCCAAGTTTTCTACAACATGTGAAGAACGCAGTTCTGGCATGTAAAATTTCATGACATTGATCAAAACTTTGCGAAATGCGAGAAATGTGTCGAATACAAAGAATCTATCAATTCCGCAAAGTCCGTGCGTGTGTGTGAGTACTTTGTTTCATTACGCGAGAAACACTTGGACTTGCAGCTTCAAGATCGTGCTGCGTATGAGGTGTGGAAGGATGAGTCGAAGAGACCGGGTTCCAACAGTTTGTGCATCATCATTGACGGCATGGACCAAAGCAAGACCAACATTCCACACTTTGGTGGAGAGAACAAATCGAAGGCATTCGCAAATATTCCGATGTTGAAAACGAATCTAACAGCTATTATTGCACACGGCCGCTCACCATCGGTCCATGTTCACACGTGGTACCCTTGCTATCCACATGATTCTAATGTTGTAGTGTCATCCATTATGAAAGTTCTCCGCGACATCCAGGCGACAAGCGACTTGCCTCCTAAACTTAGGATACAAGCTGACAACTGTTGGAGAGAAAACAAAAACAGATACGTTTTGGCACTTGCTGCAACTTTGGTGAAATTTGTCTACTTCAAAGAAGTCAAATTCGGTTTTATGTTAGTGGGACAGACACATATGGACGTTGATGCCACTTTCAGTCATTTCTCTCGCAAACTGAAAATGCACGATGCTTATACCATGCTCGACCTCTTCAAGCTCGTTGCTAGTTCTAAAAAAAAACGTGCATCGTGCACATTCATGGATGAAATTGCTGATTGGCGAGCTGCTGTTAAGCCCTTACTGGTCAAGAGACTGACCGGTCATAATCGTCCACATGCATTTAGGTTTTATATGCAGGATGACAATCCTGTGTTCCAGTGTAAAGAGTATTGCACTTCTCCTGAATGGTCTGCTCCAGTCTATTGATTTAAACGAGATGGAAACAAAGCATATGCTGGACCCGAATGACCATTCGTGCCATCACCTGTTCCGCCGTCAGCTTGTCTGCCTACTAAAGATAGGAATTCGGATTTCGAATCAGGAATTGAAGGTGTGAAGACGTTTATTGGGCGGTTGGAGAACAAGCGACACGAGTGGTTGAGAATGAAAGATGAGGTTAACTTCTCAAAGGAAAGTGCTCTTTCACACTGGAAAACTTTCCTCGAGACAGTCGAGGAGCATTACGGGTCTGGGTTTGCGAAAACTTCACTCAAGGCTGGCTTCTGGCCCTCACAAGACAAAATTAAGAAGGATGATCCAAATGATATTGATATTGCTTTTCTCTTGAAGAGCAATAAGAATAAGGAGCCGTTGTTCGTTGGACCGACCAATGAGCGTCCAAAGGCGGAGCTCAACCTAGTTAAGGATGTCGAAAGAGATCGATTCGTTATCTTGCGTCCTTCCCAAGATGACATCGGTGATGAAGTTCCTGTATGGATGGGTAGAATCATTTTCGATGTAGACAACGATATGAAGTCGTCAACTTTCAATCATATTCTTATTGAATATTGGGTGTCACAACCTATTGCTAAACGTTCTTCTATGCAATCTTCGAACGCATGGAAGAAGACGTGGAAGAAAGACAACACAACATCACAGCAGTGGCAGCATGTAGACTCTGTTCTGTGGAGCTGGACATCAAAGACATTGCATTTGGAAAATGGAGTGCACATTCCAAAATCAGCCAGAGAAGGCCTTGGTATGCCTTTCACTTCCCGATAATAAAAATCAGTAGGTTTTAAATAGGTTTTGAAGAATAGTTTTTCGTATTTCTTTACATGTATTAGTACATTATTTAGTTGTCACTGAGCTTTCATTTATATATATTTAAACTGTATTTTCATGTGTTGCAGAATGGTTCAACCATTTGTGATGACTGGATGGCCGCCAAGTAACATGGTGTGAGGAAGAAATATATGACATGATATGGGTCCTGTTTTCTTCACATATGAAGTGATCTTTGACAGTGCAGTACTCTATGTTAGAGGTGTGGATGTCCCACCGGAAGACTTGGAACATTCTCCTCGAGAGTCACTGTATATTTGTGGTCGCAGGTGTTGTGGAACGAGAACATACCCGCGAGAAGTGCTCGCACTCTTTTCGGAATCGTATTATTCAACAATCAAATTATGCCACAACAATTTCAACGTGATGACCTTGTTTTGTGCAGCGGCAACTGTTCGAGGTCGATGCAAAGTATCTTTCCTTATTCATAATGACTATTCTGCAAGTGCAAGTGTTTTCAATGCAGACAACATCGATGAACGACGATGGTAAGAATTCCGAAGGAGGATCATGGAGCAATCATCACTCAAAACACTCATGGATGGGCTTGTGGACACGACCATCAAATATTTGCGAAGTCTCCTGATGCGCGAATATGAAGTAATAGAAAATTATATAGAGTACAAGGACCCGACATTTGACGGACAAACTGATACCATCATTGTAGAAGATTGGACAACTTATACAAGGACAGTCTGAAATGTTGTCTTGATCGCATTAGTTTATCCCTGTAGTCGATCTAGTTACTAGGCTTGTTTTGCCTACTTTCGGAGTGTCATTTGTGCTTTGCATTTATTTTTATTTTTCTCTTACTCGGTCAATTGCCTTGAGACATCATCTTAAATTGAATATGACTTCTTGGATTTTGCGATAAAATGGATGTAT